AAAAAAAAAAAAAAAAAAAAAAAAAAAAAAAAAAAAACAAGAAAAAAAGAATCACATTAATTTAAGATAAAATTTTGCCGTTAAGTCACTAAATTAAGTCTGGAAGGAGAAGGCGCAGTAGTCATCTCGAGTTTCAGTGACAGACAGAGAGGGGACCGGGCTCAGTTGGCTCCAGCTGTTGCCAGCCAGCTGTTGCAGACGGGCCCCTTGTGGTCGTTGAGGCGACAGTACTTGTTGAACTTCTCCTTCAGGTGCTGCCGGTACTGCTCCCGGTTGCTGTAGAAAGACTTGTTGTTTGCCATGAAGGACTGGATCTCGTCCTGGGAGATGAACAGCTCCTCGTCAGAAGTGCACTCGGACTCGTCCTGCGAAGGGGAAGGGGGATTTCAGAGCTGCAGCACATCTGGGGGCACACACACAACCCGAGTCCCACGGGGCTCATCCAGCCACCCAACTCACATCCAGGGCTCTGCTGCTTCCTGGGGTGAGAGGCAGCCACAAAGTCATGAAATCATTCACATTTCCATGTGGGAAGAGGATGATTTTCGTTTGAGGTTTTTGGGGGAAAAGGAGGGAAAAGAAAGAGGGAAAAAAAAAAAAAGGAGGAGGGGGAAGAGGGGAAAAAAAGCAGGGGCAAGAGGAAAAGGGAAGGAAAGAAAGAGGAAAAAGGGGGGGAAGAAAGAGGAAAGGATCTAAATAAGGGGAAGGAGATGGAAAGGAAAGGGAGATAGAAGAAAGCTGTCCAAGGAGCCTGCAGTGGGAAGTAACATTTGAGGCCTGAGGGCAGCAATAATACCCACTTCATGTTATGGAATAATGCAACCCTTGACAATGAACACTTCTGCCACTGCATTCCAGGGACAATTTCTCCTCCCCTGCAAAGCATTTCAGCCATAAACTTCCCAGAGAACGTGCACCAGGCAAACAAACTAAACACTGGGAGTCCAACAGTTCCTCAGTGGGATCTGAGTTCTAAGCCCCACCCTCCGCAGTCTTAAAGCAGGATGCTACAACCTCCAATTCTGAGGGAGCCGTTACTTACAAGGAGTTCCACTAAGCTTTTGGCACCTTTTCCAGTATCAGGAACGAGTGACATTTCTGTAGGTTCTGCAAACTGTGACACATTTTTCATATGCTCAAACCAAGGCAACTGCTGGCCGCTTTTGTCTGCGCTACAGCAGCTCTCAGCATGTGAGTCTTTGGTCTTGTCGCGATGGAACTCTGTGTGCGTGAGATTCCCTGAGGTCTCTCTGGTACCTGGATCTGCCAGACAGCTTCCAAGTTTCTGAATCTGAAATGGAAAACAAGCCTGGAATGAACTACCCCGTGGTATTTGACATGGAACATTCGAGTTTCAGGTGGAAGCAGAGGGGAAAAAGGGGAGAGTTCAAAGGAGAGCAAGGATAGGTATTTTTAAATGTGTGCCTGGGATGGGCAGGGATGTTAATTCACTGAGAGTAAGCAAAAGTGCACATGCTTAGGAATATAGTAGAGATTCTTTCCACCACAACCTACTCCAGGAAGGACCTCAATTCCAAAACTTGGATGGAGAGGGAACAGAAGATCTCTGTTACCCCGTTTTCAGCATTAAGCACAAACGGGACTTAAAATCCTCCCGTAACTACTTTCAAACGTAAGCATTTAGAGAAGCATCTGGCAGAGCCATGGTCCTTACATGGTCATTCTCACACTTCAAAGCTTTGCTTTTCTTTTTCTTCTTTTTGTTTTTGCCTTTTGTGTTGTTCTCTTCCGCGTTAGCCCAGCATTCCACACAGCTGTCCCCATCCTCCTCCTTGTCGTCGCAGCGATGGACACAGGGATCGTCTCCTGCAAAAGGAGATGTTAATTCTAAGCTACTGCAGTTTTGGGGACACTAAAGCATTATTATCTTCTTCCCAAACCTACCATTTTCATCGTGGTTGCAGATGCCTTCGGTGCAGGCCACATCCGACCCCTCCCGAGACCCTGTTTCACTGCCCTCCATGCTCGATGAATAGCCACAGTCACTGCCAGTACAGTGTGGAGATAAACCTGAGGCAAAGCCAAAAATCACTGTCATCCACAGGAACTGCTGCATGTTCTTCAGTTATGCCTCTACAAAAAGGAATTCATAGAATCCCAGACTGGTTCAGGTTGGAAGGGACCTTAAAAATCGTCTCGTTCCACCCTCCTGCCAAGGGCAGGGACACCTTCCTATAGACCAGGGGAACCTTCCACTAGAGCATCTCTCCAAAAACCCAATTGTTTTTAAAAATAGCTGAGCCCTGTTTACCCCTAAAAAGCAAACGTTTTTAAAAATGAAAAATAATAACAATGAACATACCTTTCTTGATTTTGGGTGAACCTAATAGGGTACCACTACTAGGACAAGTGCAAGAGGTGCTTTCATTAGTAACAATTACTTCTACACAGTTGTTGGCTTCTTCGGTGCTACCACAGGCTTTGCAACTGCTTTCTGTGAAGTTGGAGTTCTCCTTAAAACACAAACAAAACACACTTGCAGGCACTGAAAGCAGCCTTGCAAAGGACACTCCTTCCACAACAAAAACCAGCTGGCACTGACTGATAACAGCATTGCTTCCAATTCTTCACAAACACAGGACAACTAAACAAATTCCAACCAACCTTCCTACAGTAATCTGACCTACAGTCAACTAAGTTCAGTCAACATATCCTGAGTAATTGCACTTAGTCAATTAAAGCTTCCTCCTCTCCAAAAATTCAATGGGAATTGTCTACAAGTAGCATTTGATTTCCTGTATTAAGTGATCTCGAAGGAGTTATAGTTGAAAAATACTCTGGCATAAGCTAAACCCCAGATTTAGGATTTAAAAAAAGAAACCCCGAGCCCCCAAAAGCTGAGGAGTTCCAGGTAACTACTTTACAAAGGCTGTACTAATCTGAAAAAGTTTTAAATTCCACCAGTAACCAAAACCAGTTCCCAAAAATACAGTAAAAACCCCTCAAGAATCCTACCATGAACAGAGATCTGATGAATGAAGCACCTGAAAGCCCCGTTTACCTTTGCCTGATTGATTTCCTTCTCTTCTGTTGCCTGCAGAGGAGCAGGGATCTCACACACACACTTATTTTTCCGTCTGTTCTTCCGTTTTTGGCGTTTCTTCTCTTGTTTCAGCTCTCTCACTCTTTCTTCTTCCGAAAATTCTTCACAGAGCTGTTCCAATCGACTAATACCTTGCACTTTTTCCACAGCCATCTGTTTGCAAGAGGTTAGATCTATTTATAGCAGTTATCACAATTCAAGCTTTCACATTTATAAAAAAGGAGGAGGAAAGCAGCCAGTCATAAAGTCCCAGCAACACAACTCTTGACTACAGAAGAAAAATGCCCATCCAGATTTATTCCCTCTGCTCAGACTGCTGAAGATATTTCCATGGAGGAGCTCTGTGTTTCACTTATGGTCCATATTCACAATTTTCAGTGAAAAGCTGCTGAATTTTATGCATTTTGGGATCTGTTTACGTGGTAGATACTCTGATTATTTAACACAGCAGCACAAAAAACCCACATCAGAACTACAGGTACAGAATTCCTGCAGTGAAAAACCTACTCATTTCCTAGGCAGTCCAACCTGAAGTGTAGGTGTATCTCAAAATATAGCTAGTATCTAATTAAGTTCCTTAATACTAAATTTAGAACAAATACCATAATGCCACATCTAGGTACAGAGTTAACAGAATATAATTAAACTAGTCAACTATTCTGGATTGATGCTCTTACAGAGACAAAAATAAATTCAGAGGGCTTGCTTTTATTTTGGAGGGTTTTTTTTCCCAAATCACTCTGGAAATTCCTTTAGCCAAAATGAGCCCCCATCATTCCTACTCAGCTTAGAAAAGAGCCCCACATAAGTTCTGTATTTCAAATTCACAGCCATCCTTGCATACCAGTAAAATTCCCTGAGTTTTACAATGTCAATGGATTTTCAGCTCCATACTTTACTAGTTTAAAACCCCACCAAGGCAAAACCTGACACAAATGCTGAAGCATTCCCTGTCCAAGGCAACTTCCATATCATTTTTGGTATTTAAAAAACAAATTACTTGTAAAAAAACTCCGAGAACTAGTTTAGGGTTCCACTATGACCGTTCCCAAACTGATTTTCTTCCTCCTTCTCTGATGTTTTGGAAGTTTTGAGAAAGAACAGTCATTATGAAGGGAAGATAAAGGTAACAAAAAAGATCTGTCATACCAACTATTGACTAACATGAACTACTGGTATATGTTAAAGGAACCACGTGGGGTTCTGTCTGAACCTCAAGATGCCACAGAGTGCATTTGGAACACATGGAATGCAGGAGTTAACAATCATGTCTGTAATTCAAAGGCACATCCTCCAGTTTTACTCATAAACCAAATAAAAACTGCTGCAACCTGACCTACTTTAAATGCCATCACGTAGAAGAACACAGAAATAACTGTGAATTAAAAACACAGAAGGCTCAGTGTACTACAACATGCAGCTTGAAAGTAAAAGCAAGGCTCAATCTTTTCCATTCCAGCAGATTTCACATCAGAACACAGCTGTGCTGTGCAGGGATGTCACACAACTCAACGAGGGAGTCACTGCAACACCCTTGAAGCCTAACATGTGGAGAAAGCAGAAAAAAAGAACTGTAGTGAAAATGGAGTTAGATACAGTCAGATAAAACTCGATTTACCTCGAAGCTTTTGCGCAGAGCATCGACCCCCAGGTAGAAGAGCATCTGCCACGTCTGCTCCTCCGCCCGCAGCTTCTGCCAGATCCGGTGCAACCTCTCGTAGAGGTGGATGCCCAGGCAGGTCAGCACCTCCTCCTGGGCGATGTCTATTGTCTTGGCGTGCCTCTCCCTGCGCCTGCACAGGAGTTGAACCAAAGCACAGCGTTGTTAAAGCAGCTGGAAGCCAAGCCAGGGATCAAAGCAGTGGCTGCCGTGTTGGTCTGGGTGCAGCTGCAGGTTCTGCTGGCACGAGCAGCCTCTCGCCCTGGCTCTGCTGTGCCACATGCGGATGCAAAATAGAAAGGACCAGGTCAAAGCCACCACTGAGCTCCTGACGGGCTCGCTGTGCTGGTGAACAGCTCTGTGCCTTCCCACCTCGGACTTCAGGAGTCACCCCATCAGTCCCTGCCCTTACCAGGAGAGAGCAGCAGTTTTAATTTGCCGTTCTTTTGTTTCCTAAAATATGCATTGAGTTTACAGCAAATATTTCACCATCAGTTAACTGAAGTTGGGTAAACACACAAAGAAGTTTTATACGTTACTTACCGTACAAAGCAAAAACATTTCTGTATTAATCTGTTCATTGTCAATCCATTATCTCTCAACCTGTTCAATCTATCATCTACTGAGGGAAAATCATTATAAAAGGATTGACCCTCTTAATTAAACGGTTGTGACTGAGCTTTAAAGGTACTGGGGTTGGAACTAGGAAGGTCTCTTTTAAGGATCTTTAATATCCCTTCCAACCCAAACCATTCTGTGATATTGAGCTCAGAACTGTACTTTTCACTGGGAGATTTTAAGATGCTAAAACAGGTTCAGAAAGTACCATAATACAAAAATGGCAGCAAAATTAACCTGAACACTTGGCATTTGGCAGAACTGTCAACCAAGGTTGTCTTTCTATTTCGCATATTTGAACACCCCAATGGACAAGCAGTGAACAATGAACCAGGAGACACTGGGCAATTTCTTTCCTGAAATGCACTTTGAAAGTCAAAAGCACAGATGAAACCTCGGCTACTTCGAAGCGCCACCTCCAGAGTCTCCCAATATTCACAGTCACGGGTTCATCACGCAGCGAGGAGGCACAAAAAACCACTTTGGCAAAAGACATTGAAGGATAAAATAAAGAAGCAAAGCGCTAGATAGCCCACTCTAGCCAATTACATACTCATACCCTCCTGCGAACTCGGGCTCGGCCCTCCCCAGGAGGTGGGCGATGAAGTCGGTCTCGCAGCACACGTGGATGTGGCGCTCGTGGGGGCAGCAGCGCAGCCCCTCGTACAGGGCAGCACAGTAACCCTTCTCCTTGCTGCAGTCCAGCTCCCCGATGAGGATGTTGTAGGCACGCAGCACCTTGTTCTTGCAGTCAGTGCAGAACCTGGGGGAAGCACAGCACAGCTGAGCTCCCGTCCCAGCGGGGCATCGGGCCCGACCGACCGTCTGACCCCGCTCCAACAGGGGCACGGGAGCTTTGTGTCACTTCAAAAGGTAAAGTAACGAGATTTTGGCTGTAACTGCAGTTAGAAGTTCCTCCAGAGGGGCAGAGGAGGGGCAGGCACTGAGCTCTGCTCTGGGGGAACCAGGGACAGCACCCAGGGAACGGCTGGAGCTGTGTCAGGGCAGGGTCGGGTTGGATCTCAGGGAAAGGTTCTTCCCCCAGAGGCTGGTTGGGCACTGCCCAGGCTCCCCAGGGCAGTGGGCACAGCCCCAAGGCTGCCAGAGCTCCAGGAGGGTTTGGATGATCCTCTGGGGCACAGGGGGTGACCCTTGGGGATGGGCCTGTGCAGGGCTGAGGGTTGGACTGGATGATCCTGGTGGGTCCCCCCAGCTCAGCACATTCTGGGATTCTGTAATAAATTGCCTGTATGAATTATCCCACCTACCATATATAAAAGTCTGGGTATCAAAACTTTCATGCTCCAAAGCAAAAGGTAAGCTAATTGTTAATATCAAGAAGTTGCCACATGGATGTGGATATGCAATTGCACCTTCATTCAAAGATCAGAAATCTAACAGTGAACAAGCTGAACCCTTAGTACAAGCCAGAACAAAATCCCTCTCAAGGAACACACTCCAAGTTACCTTACAGCAATTATTTAAAGTGTACTCAAGTGATAAGAAATAAGTTTCCTCTGTTGCCCCTGCTGTACAAGAGCAGTGTTTGTTTCCACTACAAACACCTTTAAGCATATTTTGAATTATTAGATTACTGTGCTGATAGCCAAACAAGGTTTATTTATAACACCACACATTCATTTTAAACATGTGACAGCTCATGTGTGAGAAGAGCACAGTTACAAAGTCTGTTATAATTAAAATACAACCAAATTAAGCTCATTCTATGTCATAAGAGGAGTAACCTTCAAGAAGCTACAAAACCTCTTGCTGCATTACTCTAAAAATGCAAGTCAGACAAGCTGCTCACATTTCAGCTTGAAAAACTGGCTCTCCATGCCAGCCCTGGATGGTGTTTTTCCCTTTCCTAGTGTGTCCAGCTTGACAACACCAAGTCAAACACACTTTGCTGTGTGACAGAACCACGGTACCTGCCTAGTTTCGGTGGTGAAAGCAAAGAAAACAGCAATATTATTGCAGGTTAGCAGCAGGAACGCTGCCAAAGCCCTGTTTAATGTCACAGGAGATTAAAGTTATTTTGTTTCCAAAGTGTTATTTCCACAGCACCGCCACCCCCACACCCATCTGTGCCCCCACAGTTCATATCAGAACCTTGAGACTGCTGGAAACGAAAACTTTTTAATCAGCACAGCAGCTACTGCACACATGCAACTATAATTTAGTGGCTTATTTCTGCCCTGCAAGAGAGACTTAACAGCACCAGCACTGCAAGTCATAAACAACTGGTTTAGAACAGTGATTTACAGGCAACACCAAGCCTAAAATCTGCTGCTGAACAGGCACATACTCCCTGAAAGCCTAAGAGCATAATCCTGGAGTGGGCTACTTGTGAAAGAGTGAATGAATATACACAGTTTTAACACATTAAATTGTAAATTAATCCTAACCAAAATAATGAAGACAAGCAGCTGTGACTTCACCCAAGGTCTCCACATTTCCCCCACCATAACCTGGAGCAACAGGTAAAACACAGAGAACATTTCACCATCTTTGTCTCATCCACTGCCCCAATGCAACCTGCAGGGTCCTCTGTCACCACCAAGCTGAGACCTTCAGTTTTAAAAGGCTCCACGCATTCAAACGCTGTGTGAACACACTTAGCACACACTTATTGCATTTTTTAACTGCAGATGTCTTGCTGAAAAGGAACCCTCTGTTCCTTTCACATACCTGTGTTTTCGTAGGTAGGTTTCTAACGTTTCTAGAAGACAACTAGAGTCGATTAAAACTACTTCATCCCTGCATTCCTGGGACATGAGCTCCCACACATCCATCCAACAGCCCCTGCAAAACAATCAGAGGAGACAAAAGGCTGCACATTATCCTGGGGGGGGTTAGGAAAGAAGCAAAGCAAAGCCTCTTTGGTTTACCTGACTGCTCTCTGGGAAGGTCCATAGCAGAAAATGATGCTACACTTGCTCTCTTTCCTCCTCCTCCTGTCTTCTCTACTTTTAACTGCTTTTAATTTCTTTGTACTGAGTCTGTTACTGCTCCCTTCACTGTCACATAGTATTACCAAACATTTTTCAGACCTATAACATATATATATTATGAACTAGTTATTTTTCCTAAGCAAATCCTATGAAAATGCTGCTGTGTTCCTTAATTTACTTTGAATTCTCTACAGGTTAAGCCTTAACTTCTAAGAAAGTCTGGGTCAGACATGAGATGGAAATTTTGCTGTCCACGTTTACAATCCAGACTCATCATGACTTTTTAAAGTTACAGCTGAAAACCAGTAGTAATGTTTCAGAATATTACTTTAAACACACATAACTTTTAAGATTAAATTTCATAAGATAATTCACTAAAATAATAAAAGAAAAAAGCAAAACAAAACCTCCAAATTCCACATGTCTACTACCATAAAAAACCCATAAAACACTCTATATTAAATGTAAAAAATTTGCCAGAAAAATACTAAAATGACATAGTTATTGGATAAGCTAAAAGTAAATTATAGAGCAAAGAATAAACATTAAATCACATGTCATGTTTACTCACAGGCTTGTCTACACTTGACACTTCATCACTTCTGTGTGAGCTCATGGACGGATACAACACAGCAGGAAAATGGGAGGAAGCACCTCTGTTTCCTAACTGCAGTACTTATACATGCCATGATCTCGTTTGCCAGAGCACAGGGCCTGCACTTCTGAGAGTTTAAAATGCTCCTGAGCCCCAAATGGCACCGAGCAGCCATGACCCAGGGACACTGAAACCGAGCACGTCAAGCAACCCTCGAGTGGAATTAGCTGCTTACATAACCCCTCTAATTAAACACACAATTACAACTCAAAGCCCTTTTTGTGTGCATGAAATGCCCAACAGATGCAACTCATCTGAAGGAGTTTCTTGTGCAGAAGTAGCTCTACATTGATTAATAAGGTTTGCTCCCTGAGACGATTCCCTTGGATGCCTCCATGGCTCTTCTGGAGTGGGTTTGTGCCACTGCAGGAAGATTTGTTTGGAGAAATATCAGTGCTGATACACCCTGGGCACTTCTGCCCAGCACAAAGGGGTTTGACTGAGCAAGGGAGTGCAAGTCCTGTTTCTGTAGCAAACCACCCTGATGGCCCACGAGCCACGTTACCTGAGAAAGCCAAAAGTTTTCCTTGCACTATAATAAAATATTGCTTTTCCACATATTCCCTATTAATCTGCATCCAAAACACTAAAGGGATTTATTCCAGCATGAATTGAGGAAATAAAGGCAGCGCTCTCCTCTCTGTTCATTCAGTTGGAGAACTGTTCTGCCGTGCCCAAAATGCCAACTGCGGGTTCCACGGTGTGTGTTCTCACACAGAAAAGATTAAACTTATTAAAGATAAGGAAAAAAAACAAAACCCACTCTCATAATGCTGTGAATTTGCTTTATTTAAAAAAAAAATATATACCCCTATACCTTCATGATCCTGTGTAACACAAGCTTTAAACTAATTATATGAAAGGCCTGTAAACCAAAATATAATAGGAGATAATTATTAGTTACCACTGTGCTGAGGGAGCACAAGCAAAAATCGAGTGTCAAATTCCATATCCCTGGTATCTCAGGGGATTTAACTGAACCCAAAGAGACTCAAATCTGCATAGAAAAATACATGTCCTGTAACTGGAAACCAACTTTCACAGGTTGTACACTCAACCAGGAGCAGAACACAACTGACTAAAAAAGGTCCAGACGCTCCAGCCAAGCACAAGAGCCCAATTTATTGGTCATCACATTAAAAAAAAACAACAACAAAAAAACCCAACAAAAAACACCACTTCCAAAATCCACAACAGATTTACAGGGAGTGTTTTTCTGGTTAACCAGTTGGCATATATGCATATTTTTCAGTGGTGTATTCAAAACATGCCGTCACATTTTGAGAAAACACATTTTATCGAGTCCCAGTTTTAACCCTGCACCCGACCACAATAAAGCCCTTGATTAACAGTTGTGCAAGGCATTTTTAATAATCCCAAGCAAAAGGATGTATATTTGTTTAGCATGTACTCGTTCAACTCCATGTGAGAAAATCTGCTGATCAATCCTTTTGGTCTAGAGCATAAGAACCAGTCTGTCTTTCCATCACAGTGCAGAAGCCACCCGTGCCCTGAGCACGCCCAAAACTCCTGGTGCTTCTCTTCCTCTCCCCCATTTGGGTCTGCTATAATCCAGCTAACTCTGGCAAACAGATCATCGTGTAAGAACTGATCTCAATGCTTAAAAATAAATTATCATCAATACTTTGGTTCTTAAAATATTTGAGATTGAATCGGAACTTACCCCAAAGGTTTTGGTTTGTGTGTGTCCAGGGAGTGTAGCTGACATCTCTTGTTCTTCTTACTTTTGGGAATTGCATCAATCATGTCATTCAGTTTGGACCTATGGAAAAAGAAATGTAACCAGCTTAGGATTCTGGAAAGCACTTGTTCTTACACCACCTCGCTCTCCAGATCTCCATCTCCTCAGCTCTGCACTAACCTCTCCTACTTTTCCTGCTCACTGGAGCAAGAAGAAGGACCTGAAGCCAACTGGAAGGCCAAGGCACAGCGTGTTGAGCACTCACTGTTTGCTCTGGTGACATCTGAGAAACTAATGGCACTGGGGCTATTTTTTGTGCTCACCAAACCCAGAAGGTTTCACTTTCTCAGGGTTACCTTTCTACCCAAGAACAGAAAGTTTTGGTGGGCAGGTATTAATTAATTTGTTTTCTTTTATTTTTTCCATGCCAAGTAGAGAGGCAAACAATCACTCTTCTTCCAGACACCACGAAAACCCCACAGTGCCTGTGTCAGATTAATGGCCGAATATATTTATATTTATAGATGCCAATATTTAAATATTGGTATCTTTTAACTGCCATCATGGCATTGCAACTGGTGATATGAAAATCAGATTAAGTTTTGGGTTTGCTTTTTCCCAGTTTAGGCAATAAGTAGTTTAACATGATATAAAAGACAAGGAGGTTTTTAAGACAAGACTGGATGTGGCATCAGTGCCATGGTCTAGCAACCACAGCAGGAGTGGATCAAGGGTTGGACTTGATGATCTCAGAGGTCCCTTCCAACCCAGCTGATTCTATGATTCTATGACAAGGATGTACTCTAAGATGCAAGATGTGACAATTTAGGGTCCCCAGGAAGGCAGCCCAGACAAACGCACAGACAGCAGCCTTCCTTTCCCCTGGGCAGTCCCAAGGCACTCACCCATGCACGTAGAAGAGTGTATAAAGCTTCTTTGCATCAGTCATACAGCTGCGAGTCACAGAGAGCACCCCCTTCGGCCCCACTGTGAGGGGCTCCAGCGCTGGATTCCCGGATTCCACGAGCTGGGAGAAGAGCCTTTCCACGCTGCGCCGGCAGCCCACGCACGGCACCAGCTGGGAAAGGGCGCTCAGGACCTCCCGCGACGTCACCATCATGGCAATGTTCAGGTCCTGCTGCTTCAGCATGCTGTGTCTCTGCAACACAGCCACACGTGCCAGCATTAAAAAAAAAAAACAGGCACAGAATATTTTCCTCCTCTTGTTTCCTCCTCCTACCGCTCCGACCAGCCAGGGCTGCTGCGGGATAAACGTCGCCTGTCCCCGCTCCGATCGAGAAACCCTCTCCCTCCACCTCGGCACAGATGTTTTAGGAAAGGGTTTCACGAGTTTTCATCTTCTACTCTCACACTCATCTTTGGCACATAGAAAGGGAATTCATGGATTCGCTGGCATTTATGGAAATCTCATTTACAACAAACTTGTTCTGCTCAGACCAAGACAATTTAACAATATTTTTCCTGGAAGACTAAATGCCAGTTCCCATTCCAATTCCAACAGCTGAAACCAAAGAAATTACACATTACTGCTCAGGGTGAAACATTCTACTTCAGTAGTGAACACTCCATGTGTGCTATTCATAGAACATTAAAGACAACACCTTCTAATATTGCTGACATCAATAAACAATTGTAGATGTGTCTCCTGGTCCCCCTGTCAAACACATCCAGGCACACATAAAAAAGCACATACCCTTCTAGTCCTTCTCACTGCTGTTCCATCAACACTGAACTGCCACTAGCACAGCTCTGCAGAAG